CGCCTACAGTCTTCAGTAGAGCCTTGCCTAGAGACGTGGAGCCGGCCGCGAAGTTGAAGAACAGCACCACAGCGAAGACGACCACGCTGAGGACTGTGAACGCCAGCTGGAGAGTGCCTCGGTGAGAGGACCCCATGACGACAACGGCGTCTGCTGCTGCTCACCGATCTGCTCACCGCGTCTGTCCTGCAGCTCGGAGGTCAGACATGACGTGACGGCGTCTGCCGCTGCTCACCCGTCTGCTCACATTGGTGAAAGAGACGCCAATACAGCGTAAACAGCGAATGATTAAATGTTGATCCGTGTACTAATAATTTGTTCATGCAAAAGCAGAGCGAAAAAATGGAGCCCAGTGATTTAGGTGATTTGCATGACCAAAAGTGAAGGGCACAAGCATGCATGAGAATACAATACACAAACAGGAAATATTAGAACAGTAATGACCTCGAACGACCTAGCCCTATCAGAACGGGGTGGAAATAGCCTCAGTAGCCGCCATCCCGTGAACACCAATCACCACCATGGTAAGCGTACTGAATTAAGCTGGCCTTATGTATTCACATGTGTTAGGCGAAGCGAACGCCTGGCGGATTGTGCAAAGAGCGAGACATAAATTTATTGGTTCGAAAGGGCCAGACCAGCCAAGGGGGACGAAATGCTACCATGATTGCAACTGTTCCATGCCACCGACCCACAGTCGCACCGAACCACGTGAGGTGTGGGTTGCCTCTGTTGCACCCTTGCCCAGCTGGTGAGCTGGTGGAACGGATGGCGGCGAAACCACGCCAAGCGGCCAGTTCCGCGTTGCTGCCAGATAAATACTAGGGTAGCACAGCAGCCCGAATCTGACTTTGGCAAGTACAGACTGGACGGGGTTCCCTCAGTCACTTAGCTTTATTGGGCGGCATTTAAGCAGTCTGCCCAGAATAATTTATTTGCCTGTCATGAATAGATTCCTCCTGCAGTGCATTTTCGAAACGCTATTAAAGCCAACTTCCCGTCTTCCGAGCTGCCGTGCTCGAATAACAGTCGAAAACAAAACGATTCTCCCCTTCTGTGATGCAACCCGCCGGAGGTTTCGTGGTGGGAGAATCCCATTTTTTTGGAAGTAAGTAACTTTTCGTGGTTCATTTTGGCATGGCCGACAACATAAGAAAAATGACACCCCGCACTACTATCGGGAGAGCGGAGGCAAAATTATCCGTTGAACTGGACAGAAGGACTTGGGTGGTTCGTTCACGGTACACGCAACAAAGTATGCCTATCGGGTAGTCTGGTCTGATTTGGTCTGGTCTGGTCTGGTCTGGTCACATTGGTCTGAGCCCAAAACCACCCATGCAAACAATTCGGAATAATTTTTTTCGCAGGAAATAGGAAGACAGACTTATTTATGGTTGGGACATAGTGTCTGGTGCGTTTCAGGACTGATATTTATATGACATTGAAATATGGAGAATCTTTATCACTAAACAACGTGTTTGGTGCGTCATGCGCTTTTGATGAACATCTGCCATGGACATTGTCAAGCTGCAGCAGTGAGGCGTCTGACATGGAAAACCCAGCGGCTTGCTAGTTCTGCGCAAAAGAATGGCCAAGCGACAACGTACTCATCCGAAGACTTAGCCATCTCCCAAGACGACCATCCATCTTTCACTTCGCATTTTACAGTCACGCAATTTTCGGACAGACCCACCCGCCGGAAACGCCATCTGCTGCGTGAGGAGCAGGCTCACCTCGCCGTCCGTGTCTGTCCCCAGACAGCGTCGCTGGCGCACCACCTGAGGCTGCTCTGCCGCCTGTCTCACGTCGTCCGGGCGTCACCAGCCTGTACAGCCCACCGTGGCGGGGCGCGCGCTCCAACTGCCGCTCAGGCTGGGCCGAGCTGCCGCGGAACCGGCGCGTGCGGCACGCGCAGGGGCGGCGCCAGCGTGGCGACATTGGCAGGAGTAAGGTGGCATCCGACCACAGGCGCGCGCGCCCTGTCTCCCACGGCCGGTGGGGGTGTGATGCAGGTGAACCAATCATCTTGCAGCGGCACCTTTCACAGTTTGGTCACGGGTAGCCATTCACATTGCTAAAAGCGCTGAGTATTTCCTAATATGTTTGAATATTAAGATTATTATCAAAACGCCACCCGTCGATATCGCACAGTTGATATTTTGGAGTCATTTCAAATTGAAATGGGGGTTTGGTTGAAGTCTAAGGGGAGTTTGATACGATTCGCAATTCACGTTTTGCCAATGCTCACTGCTGTAACGTTTCCGATGGCGCTGAGTGCAGCTGGATATGTTAACCATATGCGCATATAATCCGCATGATTGTCATCGATTTGCGATCCTATATTTGGTGCCCTGCTGTGCAAGAAATGGATCACAATATACCGGCTTCACAATAGCACTGGCGCTGCTACTGCTTAATTTGTTCAACGCACGAATGCCATAAGTGGCAACCCTGTGCCTTGTGGGCTTAAACACTGGAATTCCTACCAACACAGGGCACTCGTCAATCTTGGCACCGAGTCATCAGCGCGCATGTGCACACCAGCGGTCGTATACGTGTGTGTGCGGGCGTGCTCGCTCGTATACGAGCATGTGTACATGTGCAAAAATTGCAGGCTCTTACAATCCTCTTTTTGACCTGCACACGGGCCGACAAACAGAAGCCGACTGACGGACAGACGGAGAGACATATATATATATATATATATATATATATATATATATATATATATATATATATATATATAATTCAGGCAAACATTTTCTTTAGTAGATTTTATGACAGCTGCGGTTGAACAAAAAGCCGGTACAAAAGCGCTGTGCGCCAGTCTATAAAGATCTCATTTTGCAGTTCTAGGCCTAAACATGGTTTAAATAAAGACCATTTGCTTCCAAACTGAGAAACAAAAATGCGTTGAAATGTTGGTATGACATCAAGGTCTAAGAAATACACATAATTCTCTTTTAAGGCACCCAGGATTCGACTGACAGACATCCCTCTCAGTGAATGCTCTTAAATTAGGCTTGGACCTGATCCCAGGCTACCATGGTACGGACAGACGAATTTATTTATCACGCAATATCGATCAGTATAGGCTTCAAAACGATAGGTCGCACAGGCTCGGAGCATGGCGTTGTCCACATACTGACTTTTATGGCTTCGGCAGTTTTTGGTTATCTATGATCTGACCTAAGGCCATCATCTTCTGGAATTATCGGTTATCAACCATGGTGCATCGATTGGTTAATGCACCATGATTGGCTCCGTACCGATCAGTCCTAATGGCTTGGAGCATGAGGTTGTCCACAGCCAATTTGGGTGTTTTGGGCATTTTGTCGAATTTTGACACAACCCAAGCCCATCATCTTTTCAGCAGGATAGACCACCGACTAAGGCGCATCGATTGGGGAGGGTTTTGTGACGGTCGTTATTATGAATTCGGAACATGAGGTTATCTACAAACTAATGCCTCCGGATTTGAGGCATATTCGGTGATATTTGACCTGACCAAGGGTCATGAACCATGCTGTCATGAAAAGGATAAGTTATTGGCAAAACGCATCGAATGGTGAAGGTTTGGTGTCAACCAGAGCCGTAGGCTTGGAGGATGGGGCTATCAACAGCTTTTTCGGGAGGGACTAAACGACCGATCAGACCTTCACCATTCGACACCATTAAGCCGATAACCTATTCTCTCCAGAAGATGGTAACCGTGGGTCAGGCTCAAGGTCACTAAAAATACAGTATACCGGAACATAGGTTTGCAGACAACTCCGTGCTCAGCTGACACCAACAATCATGAAACCAACCACCAATCGATGCGCCATAGTTCATGTTTTATCCATATCAGAACATGATGACTTTGACTTAAATCAAAAGGTCACCAAAACACCAAAACAACAACCCAAATTGGTTGCAGACAGCCTTATGCTCCGAGCCTATGCGACCGATCGCCATGAAAACTGCACCGATAGATGCGGTATTGTCGATATTCCATCCTATGCAGAACATGGTGACCTCGCCCCAGGTCAAAGATAACAGCAAACGCCTAAGTCCACCGGCATTGGCTGCAGACAGCCTCATGCTCCAAGCCCATCGCACCGATCAGCATGAAATCTTCACTATTCTCTGCACCATACCCGATACCTTTTACTTTTTAGAGCATGTTAACCTTGAGTCAGGTCAAAGATCGCAAAAAAACGGTCAAAACCACATGAAATTAGTTTGCAGACATCCGCATGCTGCAAGTCTATTGGACCGATCAGCACTTAACCCTCACCGTAGTCGATATACTATCCTTCCCAAATCATGATGACCTGGTATCGGGTCAAAGGCCACAAAACGGTCCAAACCAGCTGAAATTAGTTTGCAGGCACCCCATGCGGCAAGCTTTTATGACTGATCGGCACCAAACATTTACCGATCGATGCACCATGGTGGATAACCTATCATTTCCAGAACATGGTGACCTTGGGTTAAGTCAAATGTGACCAAAAACTCCCAAAACCACCTCAAATTAGTTTGCAAACAACCCCATACTACGAGCCTGCGGAACCGGTCGGCAACAAAATTTCACCGATTGATGTGCCATATCATCTCTCCAGAGCATGGTGACATTGAGCTAAATCAAAGGTCACAAAAATGTAAGGCTTAAGACAAAAAGCGAAGGTCACCGAAAAAGTGGTTAGACAAAAAAAAACAGAAAACAAAGGCCACTGAAAAATTTGTGCCCGAGACAAGGTCACCATGTTTGGGAAACGATAAGATATGGCGACTATGGCGCATCGATTGGTAAAGGTTTCATGCTGATCGGTTCTATAGGCTCGGAGCATGGGGTTATCGGCAGCAAACTTTGATTTTTCGGCGTTTAGATGACCTTTGATTAAACTCAAGGTCACCATGTTCTGCTAAAAATAAGGCCTCACCCACGGTCACCATTTTCTAGACATGACAGATTATCGACAAGGTGGCATCGAATGACGAAGGTTTGATGCCAATTGGTGTCAACAGCTTGAAGCATTGGACTGTCAACAGGTTTGTTCAACCGTTTAGCCCCTCCCGTTTTTCAGTCTTTTAGTTCTTCCTTCTCAAGGTCATCTCTCAGCTGTTGGAAATGGAAGAAGAAGCGCCGCCACCTTTGTTTATGTTATTGACGGAAGGAAGTGTGTCGGTGGCGTGTTGACTGCAGCGAATAGGTCCACGACAGATTAGAATGTGTCTCACATCAGGCGATAAGGATAAGAAATACCACTCACAGGAATCGCGATAAAGACTGAAACTGTTGTCAAGACTCCTGCTAATGATTTAAGCTGGTCGGTTTTCTGTTTTGGAAAAGGTGTGTGAGTGTGTGTGTGCGAACGGCTGGTGTGACGGATCCAGTTGCTGTAGATATCACGTGCACATAACGGCATGTGCTTATGCACAGCTGAGGTCTAAGCCTGTGTGGTGATTATGAGATAAATCTGGCGATTTCTAACAACTTTCATCGGATTCTTTGTCAGATCAGCCTTTGACAGCTCTTTGACAGACTGAGCCTGATATTTTCAGTATTTTGTAGCATATCAGTGGTCTGGTTCAGTTGTTGTGTATTAACTTCATGTGTTGTGTAACTTTTGTGGTGAGCTTACCATTTATCATGTGCACATCTTTATTTCAGAGATAGGGTTTGTTAAGCTTAATCTTTTGGCCATTGTCTGACTTCTCCTATGATGAACATTTCTCAGTGGTGGAGTATCCTAGTTTTAGATGTGTTTTGCATGCCTATTGCAGAGTTCTACAGCTTAAATATTACAGAATTATATTAGGGCCATATTGGATAGATTATCACTTGTTTGTAGTACTGGTAAAAATGTATTTGGTAAGCCACTGTGACACTTCATGGTGAGATGATATGTCCTTTTGGTATTTTGCCCCTTTTTATATTAAAATGACATCTTCCACTACAAACTTCCCAGACTGGGCATATACATTTTTAAGACTACTTTATTGCTCCTCTATTGTATTTTATGCTAACACTGTCATGACCACAAACAAATCATAAACTTATGGCCATGAACTGGGTTTGCCTGGGCTGCAGGTACCTAAAACAGTTGAGCAAGATTCTGGATGTTTCTGTGGGCCATGTCTCAATCTCTTCTGAACTGCTGATGCAAAAACAGCACCATAACCTGACTGGACCATTGTATCACCACTGCCCATCACATCAGGCCTCCCTTCTATCGGCAGAGAGGTGTTCCGCTGTGGCTGTCAGTTCAGCTGCCATAATGGCTGATGCTGTGGCCATTTTTCTGCTGGTGGTGCTGGTGCAGGCCATGCAGCCATCTGCTGCTGAGATCTTGGTGGTGCACGGCCAGTCTGATGTGGAGTACCAGATTGATGACGTTCAGTCCAACTTCGGAGCTCCGCTGCCGATCCCGGTGTGGCGGTAAGGTGACGTCATTGGCTTGTGCCTGTGCTGCTGGTGTTGTGGGCCCCACCTGGGCCTGTTGAATGTCTTAGGTGTAGTTTTGCAGCCAGCTTGTTTTGTGCGAATTACTGGAATGTGTCAGGCATTATATGTCACCATAGGATTAAAGGTGTATTACCACCAGGGGGAGTCACATGTTTGTATGTGATTGTGCACCATTTTGGTATTTTTAGGTGTAATCAACTAGTCAGGAAGAGCACTTATCATTCGCCAGCAGAAATAGGGCAATGGCTCAAGGACAGAGGCAGAATGTAGCATGCCGGAAATACTGTCCTTGGTATCTCAGTAAATACTGGGCTATGATTAGCAACGCCCATGAAAACAAGGAGGAGTCATCATCGCCATGTGCAATGACACATAGCTGAACACATATAGCTGTTCATTGACTCATTGCCGGCCATTCCATTTCCTCGATCTGTCACGATCCGGCGGCCCCCGGTAGCGCAAGGCTGGCACGAATTCTCCGTGATCGCACGAAGCCCGGGAGTTTGATCACGTGTTTGGTACCAAGTGTGCATCTGTCCCGGCAGGGTTTCCTGATCTTGGGCCAGCCTGTCAACGGCTGCGCGCCACTGGAGCCGCCGCCGTCCAACGCTACCGACCAGTGGTTTGTGCTGCTACGCGCCTACAACTGCAGCGACGACACCAAGGTCTTGAACGCCCAGAAGGCCGGCTACATGGCGGCCATCGTGCACAACGTCGGCAGCGACGAGATCAGTACGTAGGGCGGGGGGACGACGGGGCTCATCGGGCTCCGCAGGACCAGCTCCGACCACAGGGTCGGGACCACGTGGGCTAGTGCCCGGGGTAGCCGTACTCCTGACGGTCACATCAGGATGGCGAGCGTGCGCTGGCCTTCTGCTATGTGCACCTCGTGCGTGTAGCGGTGTTGTGATATCGGCTGTGTTCGATCCGGATTGGACGCCGGCAGCTTGGCTGTGCCGCCGCGGACCGTCGTTGCCTGGCGTTCCTCGGTACGCTGCGGAGGTGTTGACCGGCTGATAAGCAAGCTCCTCAAGCAAGTTCAAGCTCCCCAGACCAGCCGGCCTCTCAGTGTGGCCCCTCTGACCGACCGGCCCCTCGGTGTGGCCCCTCTGATCGGCCGGCCTCTCGATGTGGCCCCTCTGACCGACTGGCCCGTCGGTGTGGCCTCTGACCGACTGGCCCCGTCGGTGTGGCCCCTCTGACCGACTGGCCTGTCGGTGTGGCCCCTCTGACCGACTGGCCCATCGATGTGGCCCCTCTGACCGGCCGGCCCCTGGGCGTCACCCTCTGACCTGGTGCTGGGCTGTCTGTTTCAGTGCCGATGAACGGCACCAAGCCCGTCGACATCCCGTCTTTCTTTGTTGGCGAGACGGATGGCATCATGATGCGCGTCAACTTCCTCTACGGCTCCGGGTGAGTCCACGGCGTGGGGCCGAGTTGCCGCACACGTATGAAAAGGCCGCGAAACATGGATATAGTATTTAATATAGTTAATGTAGTATAATATGTAGTGTAGTAGACTCTTTGCTGCCTTGCAGCACTTTTGCGTTAGTGCTTAGGTGGGATTTTCATTGGCATTTGAGTTAAATGTTTATGTGTGACTGGCGTTTCATCCGGAGGGTCAGATTTACCAGCTTTGAGCACTGCAATGGTTTATTTAGTTGCTGCCTTTGACAGTCCGCTTTTAATGCGGGTATTTTTTATGCTCGGATATTCTGTGGTAGCATGGAGAGCAAGAAATCGCAGAGTTCTACCCACTGACATGCAGAATATAACGCCCCTTGGCTGCGGGCCACAAATTTATAAGCAAGCGAACAAAACATGAAGACATGTGACACAATGCAAGCCGCGTGTAAATTTGCATTGAATTGAGCGTGATCTTCAGATACCATCTCATTCTTCCCAACGAGATACCACTGGACTTCCTGGCGTTCCTCATTCCGAGTATGCTGCTGGTATGCGGCTGCATCCTCATCTTGGTCGCCATCATGGTCAGTGTCTTCCGGGCGGCGGTGCGGGGCGTGCGCCCTCGGGTCCGACCGCCTCCCGCCTGCTCGCGGCCGGACCGGGTCTGGCCCTCCCAGGCGTGCCACGCTCTCTGCTCGTGCCCTGGCCGATCCGTGTCACACATCGGCGCACGGGGTCAGGCGGCAGCTCGAGCTCAGGCCGCCCGTGTGCCGCTGTTCAGACTTTCTGCCGTTCAGTCGGAGTGGCATCGCCTCTGCCGCCGCCTGTCCCGCGGCCTGCCCGTCGACTGTGCAGTCGCACCCTCTCGTCTGCCGTGCCGTGCCGTGCCGTGCCGTGCCGTGCCGTGCCGTGCCGTGCCGTGACGTCCTCTCGCCTCCGCGCCGCCAGATGTACCGCTGCTGCTGCCAGTACGTGCACTCCGTGCGCCGTCGCCTGCCCCAGCGCGTGCTTAACAAGATTCCGACCAAGCAGTTTGACGCGTCCAAGGACGAGGAAGACACGTGTGCCATCTGCCTGGACGACTACGCCGACGCCGACACGCTGCGCGTGCTGCCCTGCTCTCACAGTACGTGCAGACGCCGCCCCGGCGGCCGGCGCGCCGGCGCCGCGCCTGGTCCGACCTGAGACCGGGCCGCCGCCGCCGCTGCTCAAACGGTTGGGGTGTTGCAGTCGCGTAGAGGCCGTGATCGTGTGGCAACAGCACTGAACGACGGCTGACTTATGGCACCCGTCGGGGTGATTAACGACGTCGGGAATGGCTTTCGTGGAACGCGGCGCGCGGCCGGATCCGGCCGTCGATGGGGCTGCGGTGCGGCTAAACTGGAGCGGCGCCCGTCCCTCCCGTCCCACGCTGGCGGGCCTCCGCTGACCGCCGGCCCGCCCCGGCAGTGTTCCACGCGGCCTGCGTGGATCCGTGGCTGACGCGCACCAGGCGCGTGTGCCCGGTCTGTAAGCGGCGCCTCTTCTCGGCCACGCTGGCGTACCCGGCCTCGGACAGCGAGGAGGAGTCGCTGCTGGCGCCGCAGCGACCGGAGGCCACGCTCGGCGACCGGCCGCACATCCGCACCACCTACGGATCCACGCTCACCGTCAGTGCGGCGGGGGGGGGGGGGGGGGCAGGGCTGTTCGGCAACGGCCCCGCCAGGGGACGGCCGTAGAACGATGTTGCGTGTGTCATGTCGCCGTCGAACGTAGCTCACATTTGCTGGACAATATCGACGTTCGCATCTTTGTGCGTTCGGGACAGGTTTGTGGCTGGCCTAGACAAGTGGCTGTGGCGCTGGCCGCTGTTTGTGAGGCGTTGATGCCTCGTCGGTGAACAGAAGGACTGAGTATGCTTCGGTGCCCGACGCGCCAGCGTACCCCAGTTCTCACCTGCGGTGCGGTGGCTGGCAGGGTCGCGGTGGCAGGCCCGCCCCCGCCCTGGTCCGTGACGTCAGCGAGAGGCCACAGCCACCGCGCACACACAGGGTAAGATCCTGCGCGGTCGGCAAAGCATCAAGTGCTGATCAGGCCCTTGCTTGGGCCCCGCAGGCTGGGATAGTCAGGTCCGGGTGTCGCTGAAGCATCTGCGCGCGTGTGGTGCGGCGGACGCAGGGCCCGGACCGGCGCCGCTTTCGTCTGCCATCACCCGGCCTGTCAGTGCAGCGGCCAGTTTATTGGCGTCCGGGGACGGTGTGCCTGCCTTGTAACGGCCGCCGTGCGGCCAGCCTTCTCCCTGTTGTCGGCTGGTGCCGGCAGCCTGTGTCGGGACCGACCTGGGGTGTGTTGTCTGCTGTCTGTTGTGCTCCTGTCCCGCGGGCCGGCCCCGGCGGGTCGCTGGCCCCACGCTGCCTCTCAGAGCGTCCGCCGCCCCGTGTCGTGTTGTAGGCGCGCCGCGGCCGGCGCCGCCCGCTGGCGCGACCCGGCACCTGGTCGCTGCCGACCGGCCGGGCCTCCTCGGCCGACAGCGCGCCGCTGCTGCAGAACGAGTGTCCGCCGGACACCGCGGTGAGTCTCCGTCCAATGACCGGCCGCGGGGGGAGGGGGGGGGGGGGGGGCGCCTCGCCCGCCGCCCTGTACAGTACGCGGGGTTCGCGGCTGCTCTCCCGACACGGCCTTGCCGTGGGATGGATGGAGAGCGGACTGGACGTTCAGATGCGGTGTGGGTCCGGTGAGCCGCTCGCACGTCATGCACTCGTGGTTGTGTGACAGTGTTGGTGCCAGGCAGGATCGTGGGGTTAGCCTCTTCAGCATGTACTGACGCCCAGTGTTGTGGTGACGCCCGTCTGAGGCTCCGGCCACGTCCGGTCCGCCGCCGCTCGGTGGGTGACACCCCCTTGAGGGCCGCGGTCGGACCGCGCGCGGCGGCTGCTGTTCTGATGACGCCCGCCTGACGCGTTCGGCCGGACGCTTCTACACCGGGGGATGGACAGGCGCCTCGGATGTGGGCGGTGGCCGGATGACGCCGCGCCGGCTGGGCCTGCTCTGACGCGTGCCGTGGTGTTCCGCAGCCGCCCGTCGCCGTGGACGCCGAGGTGACCGTCCATGACGTGCAGCAGCCGCCGGCGCGCGGCGGCGCCCGGCCCAAGCGGCGACTCCAGGTGCCCCCGGCACCGACAGGTACGGCCGGTCGGCGCTCAGGCGGCGCCGGCTCTCGGGGCTCGCGCCCGTGGTGCGGATGGGTGCTGAGACTGCGGCCGGCCCGCGGCCACGTCGGTCCTGTCGACGCCTCGCCGACCGGGTGCGCTCGGTGCGGCCCGCAGTCGCCGCGGACACCCGGAGCGCGCCACCCCTGTGTGACCGACTGTTCAGCGGGCGCCGTCCCGAGACTGTCCGTGCACAGGTACGACCCCGGTCAGTAGTGACCGCGGCGGTCAGCGTCGTCGGGCGAGCTGGAGCTTGTCCGGCTCGGAGCGACGCTGACGTCCCGCACGTCGGTGTTGCAGGGAGCAGCGATGGGGACGAGGCGGCGGCGACCCCGACCGCCGCGCCGGCCGACCCGCCCGCCGGGTCCAGCCCAAGATGGGACCAGGTCGCCGCCGCTGACGCCGTCCCCAGCGCTGGGACGGTCGCCAGCGCTGACTCGGTCGACATCGCTGACGCTGTCATTAGCACTGAGCCAGACACCACCGCTGGCCCGATCGGCACCGCTGACGTCACCTGCGCTGACGTCACGAACGCTGACGTCACCTGTGCTGTCGTCACCAGCGCTGACTCGGCTACTCCGTCTGACCGGGTCGTCGCCGCTGACCAGGTCACTCCGTCTGACCCGGTCACGGTCTGTGACCCGGTCGCCGCCGCTAGTCCCGTCACTGTCGCTGTGAACGCCGCCTCCGAAGCCAGCGCGGATCAGGAGTCCACCGCCGGGCCGGGTGCCCATCTGGTGTAACGCCCGGCGGAGATAGCCACCACGGGGCCAACTCTGGGCATGAACTGGGGGACTGAGGCTCCTCCACCCGACTGCGCGTGGCGCCTTGGGACGGTGCGGCGGCTGAACATGAGAGTGGTGCTTCCAGTCTGCGGTGAGGAGAGAGCGGTCCGTGGTCTGCGACTGGACGCCTCTGGGAGTGCGGACGGGAGTGGGGGCGGGGGCCCTGGCGCTCCCGCAGTGGAGCGGGTGGCCACGGAGTGGCGGCGCAGCGCGGAAACTGTACAAAGCGGGAGTGTCCTTGCGACGCTCTGGGACGGGTAGCGGGCAGGTGTCACGAAGCCAGGCTGGCGGGGTGCCGCGGAGGAGATGCAAGACTGTGAATAGCCGTGCGACGCTGTTATGTCGGTGATGTAAGCTAAGTGGTTTGTCGATGGACAGCACGTCTGGGCCTGGTTTCATAAGGCGGAGCAAGAACCCACGCTCTTTTTCTCCACGCCGTGGGAGGGGCGTACCTCACAAACGGCGTTTATTAGTAGCTCGTCCTGAGCACACATGACTTTAACGCGCAAGTACGAAGTGTATAGTTCCAACCGTAAATGTTCGCGGTACAATCCAAACAGCGGGGCTCACAACTTCACCTCATGACCCAAGGACCAGGTGTTTGGATGGCTCAGGGTCCCTCGATGTAGGTGTTTGAACGGCACTGGACGGGGGCAACTTCAGCACTGCCGCGCGGTTCATTCGGAGCCATTGCCTTTAGTCTGGAGATGTCCCACGGCCTGTCTGCTGTCGTATCCGGGCAGGACGGGATGTAACGTCATCCCACGGCCTGCCTGCTGTCGTATCCGTGGCAGGGCAGGGGTATAACGTCTTCCCACGGCCTGCTTGCTGCCGTATCCGTGGCAGGGCAGGAATATAACGTCTTCCCACGGCCCGCCTGCTGTCGTGTCTGTGGCAGGGCAGGGGTATAGCGTCTTCCCACGGCCTGTCTGCTGTCGTATCCGGGGCAGGCCAGGGATATAGGGTCTTCCCACATCTTGTCTGCTGTCGTATCCGTAGCAGTGCAGGGATATAGCGTCTTCCCACGGCCTATCTGCTGCTGTTGCCTTCCCACGGCCCGGGATGTGACGTCTTCCCACGGCCTGCCTGATGTCGTACCCGGGGCAGGCCAGGGATGTAACCCCGCTGGGCGGCTGCTCTCTCGTGGCCCGAATTGCGGCCCCCGGGGGCCACTGAGGCACAGAATATCTGACGCACTGGGGCATTGTAACTTGTGATTAACCGATGCCTGCCATGCGCGTTTTGTGTAAGTGCTACTATTCTTATTCTCAGGACCACAGCATGTCAGATGCGTTGCCATCCATGTCATTGCTCCAATGCCATAACGTGTGGTAGCTAGCGCGCGTTCGAGGAAAGGCGGGCCCTGCTGTAAGCCTTTTGGAGAGCTTCAGTGCTGGGCGACTCCTTTTGTGTCTGCATCGCGAGCCAGTGGAGTGCAGTCGCCCGACAGAGGGAGGAGGTCCGCCCGATCGTATTCGGCGTGCTGGCGACCGAAGCCCCCCCCCCCCAGCACGTCGGAAGCGTGCAGGGTGCGAAAGGTGTGTTGTTGAAGTGTTGGGAGCACATGCTGCTACTCGGTTAATGACGCTTGATCCTGAAAACCGAACTTTGTTTTGTTTGCTATGTGTAGGTTTTTGGATATTGAACACTGCACAATTAACTGTTTTATCACTTGATACCTCCAGCCAGCAGAGATTGGCGATTTAATTGCGTAATTTCCTTAAAGGCATCTAACAGCTAAAATGCGCTGCCTTTTCGGGCCTTTTTTTTTCTTCCGCCGCCTTCTGTATCTTAGCTGTCCGACACTGGCTTTACTTGAAACGGATCGCTGACGAGTAGTTTCGACCCTCGTTGTCGTGCCAATGAGGTGAAAAGAAATCAAGCGGCTTCGAATTTATCACTAAAGCTAACCCCAGCATATTACGGCGTTTAACCAGGGTGCATAGAACAATGTAACTGCCCTTTGTGATACTTTTTTGACGGTAAAACATCGTGGAATGTAGACAGGGGCAAGGGCCGTCCCTGTGCTCTAGCTTGCGTACTGTGTCCCTTCTTCTGCTGGCAGGTGGTGGAGGGACGCCGAGGGGCCAACGTTGCCTTTTTTGTACAACTCACCTGTACATGTTATGTGCCGTTATTTCAGTAATGCGAGGCAATGTTATCAGTGGTCGACCGGGCAGGTCGACCATTTGGAAAGCGTCCATAAACTGTAAAGTTGTGATGATTAGCCCAATACACACTTTGTTTTTCATCCTCTCTTTTTGAAAGTATATAAGGCTGTTGGTCCGGTAGCGTATGTGGGTAAAACGTTGGAACGTAGGAAGGACTTCGTCCCAGCCGGTTCTCCGCGCGGAACGTCCTGCGTCTGACGTCTGATGCTCTGTGGCTTACAGACGTAGCATTGTAACGTTGCCCAATCATCGGAAAAGAGCACACTTACATATGAGCATAACCAAAATCGCGGGAAAAGAGGAGAAGGGAAGAAGCTCTCTCTCACAATGTATGCCGACGCGCTGCCCGCGAGGCGAACGGCAAGCATGTCGACGTGTGGTGGATAATGGCACGGGATGTGAGGGAGCTAGTGACGGGCGCAATGGTGCGCGATTTGAGAGGCATGAGAAAAGAAGAGGAGGGGTTCACAAATAGATGCTCGATCCGTGAAAGCCATAGATCCCGGACTCATAGATCCGTGATGCGAGGATATCTATTCCGGGCACAAATCTGTTGCGGATGTCTGATCAGTTTTTACGTATCCTGGAACGTTTCTGCAAATGCTGCTTGCGAGCCAGTTGACATCACGCAGCTTCGCATCGTGAGAACGCGCATAGATTCGTATCATGATAACGCGCACGGATTCGCATCATCATGATAACGCGCACAGCTCGCATCGTCATGATAAAGCGCGCGTCCTCGCATCATCATGATAACGCGCACGGCTCTGCATCATCATGATAACGCACACGGCTCTGCATCATCATGATAAAGCGCACGTCCTCGCATCATCATGATAACGCACACGGCTCTGCATCATCATGATAACGCGCACGGCTCTGCATCATCATGATAACGCACACGGCTTTGCATCATCGTGATAACGCTCACGGCTTCGCATCATCATGCTAACGTTCACAGCTTCATGTCATCATGATAACGTTTACAGCTTCGTATCACGATATCACTGACGCCTACGCCTGAAGAACCATGAACGCCTGAACCATGAACCTGAAGAACCATGAACGCCATGTGCGCCTGAAGAACCATGCTTATGAAGGCAAACCGCAACAGTCGCTGAGGCCCTACCAGCAGAAGAATGTAAAGTTCGAGCGATATCATCGATCTGTCGAACTTTGTAAATAATTGGCCCAGGGCGCTCAGGTCTGTCTGAGCCGTTATGATCAAAATCTTGAGGGTAAGGATAATGAAGCCTCCTTGAAGTGAGCACGAGAGGTCTTGTCGCGATTTTGTTATGTCAGCTTACCATGAAGGGCATTGCAGACGATGGGTAAAAATCCCATTTATGCCTTATTGGCTCCGTCACTTGCACATCCAGCTACTACTGCTTTGGAAGAAATAAAATGAACAGGAGATTTGATTTTTACATTTATGTTTTTTTACATTTTGGTTTTTGAACATTTTTTTTATACGATACTGGGGTGGCGCCCAGACCTACAAGGGTGGAATGGTTCCCGGTTTCTCCACCACTGTATACGCCTATGAAATCATTCTATATTTTAGCGTCAAGCATTCACCTCGGTTATTAGCCCAATGCAATGACATTGCGAGTCATGCAGTCATTTTTCGTGACAATGCAAAGGAAATCTACATGTCAAAGTAACTTTGGTTCAAATTTGCTGACCATTGGTGGACAATTCGTGACTAAACCGGTAGTCTTAGCTGTATGAACATCACGACTGGACGCTGCAAGTAATTGGAATAGTCGGAGATAGCAACGCAATGGCACACCAAAACTTTCATGTGTTCCAGCCAAAAACGGTCACCACAGTGGTCTCCAGTGCGCTGGTGATGGCATAGGCGGATCCTGGGGGGGGGGGGGGGCCCGGGGCCATGGCCCCCCAAAACCTCTGAGAGTATGTTTTGGCCCTCAAAACATTCCCAGCATTTCATAAAAGTTTCGTCTACTTACCGTCTGTTTTAACTTTAACTGTTTTAACTGTTTTGTTTTAACTTCCGTTTAGGATTTAAAAGCATTTCGGTGTTTTTTTCGGTTTTGAATGGCGTCCCTACTAGGTACTCGCGAGAGGCACCATGCACTGGACCTCGGATCCCACACCAGCCAGCGACGAGCGGTTGCCCCCCCCCCAAAAAAAAAACTCCAGGCTAGATCCGCCCCTGGGTGATGAGCTCTGGTATCAAAAGAGAAAGCAACGTCGGCGGACCGGTCACTGCAGCAATAACGCAGAATTCTGGCCTGAGTTATCTCCAGATGCGGCATACATTGGGCCAGGCATGCGGTGACTCCCAGCTCAAGATGAACGTCAATAAAAATCTCAAATTTAGGCACTTAAGGATTCGCGAAATTTCTGGCACCGGACACAATATGAATTCTGAGCGCCCTGAATCGCTTTTGCCAAACGACGTCTCCTGGAGTCACGCAGTGCTCAAACGTGGATAAAGCAAATCACTGCGGCTTTTGCAATAAACTAAGTGCGGTCAGTTCATCATATGGAGTGCGGCATGTTAGCGGATGAGCTGAGTGTACTTGGCAGATTTCCAGCTAGGTCAGAATATACTTCCCACTGTATAAGGCATCGTAGGACGCTGAGAAATGTGATAGGAGCCATCATCATCAGGAAGGAATGCTCTGGTAATGCCATATCCCTTGAGGAGATAAAAGGGTGCAGCAAACGCAGTCTGCCACGCACTTCCTTTTACGCAGCAGAAAGAAGCACTAATGAACTTTTCCGGAGCTGGGGAAGACTGGCGGCCCGTCCCCGCCCGCCCACGCCGTCCGTGGGATCAGTGCCGATCTCCGTCGAATGTGAGCAGATCCATCAGCTTTGTAACTAAAGCACGAGTCTCTTTTAGGACATTGATGACGTCAAGGCACAATTTGTTCTCAATCGTTCCGTTCAGTAAACCATCAGCCGGGGGTGATGCAGCACGGCAGACGACATTGGACATGCGGGGATCCATTAGCCTTTTACCTGATCCGACAACATCCTTTGATGGCGGGACTCGGGACCTATATCCAGGGGTTATTCAAGTGATTTCGGGGCCGTAAATTGGGCATTTACATTTGCAATCTGCCTAGCTTAGGCCCAGACCGTAACATTTTCCAGTGACTTCGACCATTAAAACTCGCATTTGGATCCTTATGGCATGCTGAAGTTCATGGTTGACGTATGTGTTGCAGCATCAATGCGTCACAAGGTTGAACTGTTGTGATTTCTATAACGGTAATTAATGCAGGGAGACTAATCATGTTCCCTGCGCTGACAGGGTACACCGCTGTGAGTAATCAATCAACTTGTGTGAAGATGTTTCAGTGAGGTTTGAGTTCATGCCATCGAAGTTTCCCGGGACAACCTACGCCAAAGCCATGCGATCCGAACCCTGGCGACGGATCTAAAGCGTTTGGAGGCTCATAGATGGGCCACCGAACACTTCACCCAAAGTGCTACATGTCGCAAGGAAGGAGATCTTTTTAAGCCCAACACTAAACGAACGCTAAAAAACTCACACAAAAACAACACACGCACGTGACTTCTGGTCTTCGAGCTCTAAGCTGGACTAAGTAAGTCATGTAAGCAGACTGTTATTGGCCAGGGCCCATGATTAGCGCCTCCCAAGTCTTCACTGCCGAACAAACAGCCCATCGACCGTCTTTTTATTATGGACGGCAGTATTGATGGGAGCGACTCATCCAGCGGCCAACCTGCCGGCTTCAAAGATTTTCGAACACTGACGTCGCGTCGCTGCCGGGAAGCTGCTCTGGCCTCATAACGTTCTGCCGGTGTCCCGCCGATCCTGATCCCTGATCCCCGATCCCTTGTCGTTCGCAATTTTGTGTTCAGGAAAGCGTGACCTATTAGCAGCAGTGCAGCGACTCTGCGGTGGCCACTGGCAGCGTGCAGCATTCGCTCTTGAACGAACCGTGTCTCGGTGTCCTGTGCCTCGGGGCGTGGCCAAATTGGCAGCGATATCGCTCAAGTCAACTGTAAGTCTGTAGTTCTACAACAACATATGAAAGAGTTTCAATTCAAATGCACCGAAGCTGTGTGGAAATTGTGCTAGCTTATCAAAAAACGCGATTTCTTCAAGTGATTTACCACGGGCCGTCTCGGACCACGAGGAAGCCGCGTGCTGCCAAGGCACGCTCGGTCGTCTTTGTATGGATCGGCTGACATCAGGGTGGTGCCCGCAGCGCAAGGCGGCGCCGCGTGGACGAGGTCTCGGAATGTAATCGTTGAAACCTGTTGACACTTCGGAACTAAGCAAGCTTCAGACAACCGGCATGTCCCTGGGGGTTCCAGCTGAATGTCTCCGAGATCCTTGACTGAGAGGCTCCTTTGAACGGGGAGAGAGGGACGCTCTGCGCACTGACATCGCTCAGCAGGCCTACTCGTCTCAAAGGAGTTCAGAGCTGGTCGGGCCAGGGCGCGGCATCGCTCGAAAGGTCATCGACAAGACGCACTTAGAAAACGTTTCGCTCACGCGTCGTGAGCTCCACCTAAGAACGGCGTAGCCGACAGTGATCTTAACGAGACAACGCCCAGCGCGCTTCACCGTCCCTACTCGGGTGTCGGCCGTCGACGAAAAAAACAACCTGTAGCAGGCCATTGCTGCTGCCGACTGCTGACCAGTGTTGCCACGACCGGTGGTCACGGCTCCAGCGCGCGCAACGACAGTCCACCAGCTGGACACCCGGCTCAGTGGTCAATGCCAAGCTGTGCTGCTGTGGAAAGTGATGATGCGTCACTGCTGCTTGCCTCGCGAGGTCTCCCTGTTTTGGGGAATAGCTGGATACAGAGATAAAGGTCAAAATATCAAAGTATGCGGCATCAAAGATGAGCAGTCAGATGGCAAAAATTGCAGGCATGAGGTAGACGGGATTAGCACTTTTATTCCCTTTCATGATTTTTATCATACAACCCGGGCAAATCAAACTTGAAAGAGCGTAACTTAAAAGAAAAGGAACAACAGAGGAATACAAGTAAAAGCTCAAACAAAGGACCGCACAAAAATCAAATAAACAAAACGTCAGGAGGATCAAAGTCAATAAAAAATACTTTTTATAATCCTTCGCCGACTACGCGAGGTCCCCTCTGGACCCAATCGCCTGCACTCCGCACCCTCTAGGCAGCCACAAGACCTGCTTCTCCCATTTCCTTGTAGGTTGGGACCCTTTACATCTCAGCGGGGACCCATAACAGGCCAGCGAAGGCCCCTTCGTACAGAATCAAGAGCGGTCCAGCAGTTGGAGGGAGGGCATTGATGCGTACTTGCTGCCACCCAATTTTGTGTGGCCCCTTCTACCCAAACTAAAATATCTGCGCTCGCACAGATGTAAGGAAAATTCAGGACGCTCCCAAACAAAGCTGGAGGGAGCTAAATCGGCTTTAAAGACCATGTTGCATCAAGAGAGATCTGGAATAGAAACTTCCGTTATGAATTAAGCAGCCACCACCCTCGATCATGAGGCCTTGTTTGTGCTAGCAGGAGCCCTTCGCTGACTCGGGAGGTTCCTTTATGAATCAGAAGGTCTCTGTTCTGGATAAGAAGGCACCACATCTGTTAAAGGCATGCAGCACTACCACGGCAGCTGTATTCCCCAGCGAAGCTCTGCCATCTTCCACTTGCATGACGGTCATCGCCCCGGATACACGGGGTGTTGCGGGAGTGAAAGATGACGCGGTGAGTGAGGAAAGGACAGATGGTCATGGCGTTATTCCGTGCTACTGAGCTTAACTCTTCAAAATACCAACACCGAGGGGGTCATCCATGGGATCGTACATTACCTTGCGCGTGGGGGGAAGGGGAGCGGGTTTGATGGAACGAAATTTAACAGAAACGTAGGAAGGGGAGGGGGGTTGGGTAGCACAACGCGACGCTCACGTTTGGCTGTAAATCACGTCAAAATCTTTGAAAACAAATTAAAACCTCGAAGCCATGTAAAGTTCGATTTCCTTAATAACAAGGCGAGCCCCCGTTATTTGTTTCGCATCCCAGGCTCAACGAGCGAACAAGCAGGCGTTACTTTTGTGCGGCGTTACACTTAGCACCCTGAACGAGGCTGAGAGATGGTTCATCGAGCGTAACCTGCGCGTAACTAGGAACACAGAGGTTTAAAATGGCCAAAAATGTCTGACATACTTCATGGATGGCAACGAAATGAAAAGACAACGCTACAACGCATAAACAGGTGATCTCAGGGGAATTATGTGGATGTCCTCGTGGCATCGGTGTATCGACACGTTATGTCAAGGTTTATCCATGATAAGATCGCGATTATATTTTCATCGAATGTCTCATGGGTGTAGGAGCAGGGGATAGGGGGCCATACCCCCCTTTCAAAGTGAAGGGAGAAAACAATTGTAATTGCCCCCGCACTTTTCCAGATTTGATTTCCGTTTAGCTTACCATTGCACTTTCCTAAAATATGCATGCCGATTTACCTGGCTTATCAGCCATTCCTCAAACTGCACTGGACGTAATTGCTTCATGTGGTAAATGACAGCGTCTTATCCTATCCTGTAAGGCAACGGATATACTTAAAGGCAAACCCTAGGTTCTTCTGGTACCAGAGGCTGCATTCTGTCCTTTTTATGTAGCACCGTTTTTTTGCGTGGCTGCTTACAATCTACTCAGCACATGTTCATGGACTGCAACATAGGCGGATCCTGGGGTGGAGGGGGCCACGGGACCATGGCCCCCCAAAACCTCTGAGAGTATATTTTGGCCCCCCAAAAACATTCCCAGAGCTTCATAAAAGTTTCGTTTACTTACCATCTGTTTAAACTTTAACTGTTTTAACTGTTTTATTTTAACTTCTGTTTAAGATTCAAAAGCATTTCGATGCTTTTTTCGGTTTTGAATGGTGCCCCTACTAGGTATTCGCGAGAGGCACCATGCGCTGGACCTCGGATCCCACACCAGCCAGCTGGCGACGAACGGTTGCCCCCCTCCCCCCCCCAAAAAAAAACAACTCCAGGCTAGATCCGCCCCTGGACTGCAAGATGGTACGGTGTATCCCTCTAAAGGGCTCCGGCACGACCAGAGACCCCGCCCCCAGCGTCGCCAGAACGGCAGCCAGAGTACAACCCGCGCTGGGACAGAACGGCTCGTCAGTCCTGGACCAGTAATGGTAGTGTGCCTCCCAGCGTTCTGCTCACCGGACCCCCTGGCCGGAAAATGTATGAAGTGGGTCGAAATGAGGTCAAAATGAAAAAAGCCAACTCACCCTCGCCTGAGAGAGTTAATTCATTCTCTGAATCGACTAGTGTAACAATTAACACGAAACAGTTTAAGAACAGTTTCAGTTTTCCTAAAACCGAATGGCGTTGGCCGCTGCAAGAACCGCCAGGCGACGGGCGCCTTGCTCGCGAAAACGGCCGTCGTGACAAAATGCTCCCAAAAATCTGTCAATGTAAATTGGAACCATTCAAAGATTACACTGAGGCATAATTTTTGTAATGCTCAGTATGTCCTCTGGTCAAATTAACAGTTGCAGAGACACGAAACATAGGCCTTCTGCCTTTAATCTTCCAGTTCCTCCGCCAGATTCCAGTATCACTTCACGGTTGTTGTAGAGGCCAATTATCCGTCCTCATTATTAATAAAAAAATCGCACAGGTCAAATCCACACCAGGACCACTTTCTGAACTTACAAATTGATGTTCAAAAGCGTTTAAATGTACTTCTTTCAGCTACGTCATCTTTCAGGTGCGTCATCTTTGTCGTCTGCCTGTCAGCAACCGCTTAATATCAATCGTGGAGTGCCGACGCGGCGCGGCTCATGAAGACTGGGGGTCCTCAATATCTATAAAGAACACAGGAACAAAGCAGGCCAACTTCCAGTTCTGTCGGTTCAGAAAGAGCACATTTAACCGTAATGAAATGAATAGTGCCGGGGATTCATTACGTATAGTCGTTCAACGTCTGAATCCTTCAGTTTATTGACTGCAAAATACAAACAGAATTGATCTTGCGATAGGTTCTGGTTCCTGCTTCTGTCGTGGTTAGAAGATAAAAACAACAATGAAATGGAGAAAACCATGCCCCTCGTTAACAAGTGACCTATGTCCGGCAAACATTGTTTTGGAGTGGCCTTTCACCATCGGAGGGCCTTCGCCAACCTTATGCCTTCCTTGGCGAAGATTGTTAAAAATGGAGCTAAATGTTATAATTTTGGGGGGAGGGGGGTTTCACCATCAGGGGAGCCTTTGTCAACCCTGTGCTCCGTATTGATAAAGCTCTGGCTATGCTCCTACCTACATACAAAAGCAAATAAATTTGGCTGCGTTGAAGGAGGTATAAATAAACGACTGGTGGACCAATTCATAATCAAAGTAGGCGGCTTTGCGAAACTTTTATTTTCTGCTGTGGTTCGGTGTAAGAAAAGATAAACCTGAAATAGATCCTGTAGCAGGTGTCTAACAAATGCCTCACGCGCCACTACGTAGTGATGCCGATTCATTATCATGCGGCAGAGCAGTCATACGGCCTGTACGCGTTCAGTCATGCCGGGGATAGACAGGCCAGGGCAGTGGCCGCCGACGAGAGCGGGGCTCAGGTAAGAAATATCTAAAGGAATGGCCTTCATTCTATGACCTCGTTTTTGATAGGCGAAGCTCCGGTTTTGTGGTGTTTGACACATTGCCTTTGGCAGTCAATACTTGAAGGTCTTGAATTTGCTCCCGTCCAAAATGTTGCGATACATCTTGTCTCTTGAAAAGCAGCCGAGGAAATTAAGGCGCCTGAAAACTCTGGCGCATTATGTCCCACTGACTCGCATTCAAAATTCTGACGTGCCTGTGCCCAGATCGTATTTTGACATCTACCCTGTGGAAGCAAATGCCTCCCAATGACCCAAAATGCCTACTCGCGCGTGCAATTTCGCATCCCCACGAAAAGCGATGTCGTAACGGACGAGCAATCTTCGGAAGCTGCATAATCTCCCTTGCCGAATGGCATGGACGAGTCGAAAAGCCTAGATTGTTCACCAGTGGGAAACAGCCGTTGATGTTTATTTAGCACAGCAACCACGACATTCAATAATTTGCAACAAGTGTTGCGTGAATTAAAAGCGGACAATGTCCTCCATATCCACCCGTCCCCTCCCCCCCCCCCCCCCCCCGTCACAGGGTTTGATTCCCAGTCAAAGTTCCTTAAACGTGCCCTAATTCTGGCCCCCAATTTTTGAAACGCTCCAACGCCTGTGGGATGTCTCATAACATCGGTGTGATAGAACGGTGTGGCAACGCCACGATGTCCAGAGCAAGATGTTAATGAAGTTCTTCTCGAAAAACAAAGATGTTGTGTAAGTCATGTGCATATAATCGCATAACGTGACTTTTGTCGTGCGACGTCTCTGGGAAAAATGGACCCCAGTAATTTCCAACAGCAGAAGGATATGACCACCTAAAGGTCGCACCAACTGCGGCATGAGAAAACACGCCGTGGGCGTAATTCGGCGCATTAGAGCCTTGAATCACCGGTTCAATTTCAGCTCTCCTTAGTCCCGCTTGCTTCGAGCGCGCAGACTGTGATAGCAGCAGCGACAGCAGCGCCTCTGGTGGGCGGAGCGATAGCCGATCGAACCTGCAGAGGAGCGCCGGTGGAACTCGGCAGTGGGGCGGTGCTGGGCACCGAGGAGGGTGCCCTGTGGCCTGTGGCCTGTGCCTTGTGTCGTCCTGAGACCGCCCTGGTGAGGTGAGCTCGGGCGGCGGGGGCCATAGCTCGCGGTGGCAAGCCTCAGATGAATGACCGTTGCATTCATCTCCAGGTGTCTGTCCCATCCATTGATGGACTTGCGACCATTTGGACTGATATATACTCTTGGCTTGATGGTGTGGGCGTTACGCAATGTCATGACTCTCATATACCAGCAGCGTGTTACCAACACTAACCCTATTTCAACTTCCTATGTCCGGTGATAACTTCGGGGCGATGACAGCTGGAGCGCATAGCACGATGTGAAGAAGAGGCGTAGATGTCGTTTGTACTGTATGGCTTTGATCAGTTTGAAATATCATTTACCCACCCAGGATTTGGAAGTCCTTCGTCCGAAAAACTTAAAAAATTAGCTCGTGGAGATGGCTTTCGACCATCCGTGGCCACAGCAGTCTGCGAAACTATGTGAAAAGTTGAAATATTTTGTTTTAATTGAACAAAACGTGTCTATTTTCTCCTGGATGCACCATTGAAGTTTTGCACTATTTTCGTTACAAAAAATCGCCCCCAGACGGCTGCAGCAATCACCCGTCAGAATGGTCGATAGCCGGTAGGTCAAGACGTCCTCGGGGCCGGGTGGCTCTCGGATGAATTCCATTAAAATTTGCACGTAATTTCATTTACTTCGCATGCCGTCCGCATCGTACCGCTTTTCGGGTTATATGCCAATGAACAACTCGCACAGTATACATACACAGCGCAGAGGACAAGATGGGTAGCTAAAAAACTTTACATTTAAAGCCACACAGTTCCGTTAGACGGTTGGCATAACCCTTTAGACATGGACCGTTCGCGGACGCCCCTGGCAGCCGCAGGATCCTGTCCAGTTGGCGGCAGCCCGATGGCGTAAAGACCGCCTCAAAGTCTCCCGTTTAAATGCGACGCAAGATGCACGGACTTCTCTCTCGGAGATATTTGATCTGTTTGTGAAATGTTCGCAGGGAGAGAGGCAGTGTGCTTGGGCTATGCAATAGTGCGGTGTAGCAGGATAAAATATATCTCGATAACAGTATACATGGTCTTAAGTGGGCCAGTTAAAGCCCATTCAAGGTTGATGCATGCAAACGGAGGAACGGAAGCGTGTGACTATTCTGATGAGGATGTCAATGATCATGGCTTGATTTTAGCGGCAGCGTCGACAGGCGGAGGTCATTTTGCGCCGTGTTGCTATTCCCTGCAGCCGTGGCTTGTCACCTTTCGGATTCGCTCACGTTGGGTGGCCGTGCACCCCGCACATATGAAAATGCGCTGCGATGTATGGGGAAAGGGTTCTATTGGGGGTGTCATGCAGTGCACACACACCACACACACACCACCACACACACACACACAGCACACACACACACACACACACACACACACACACACACACACACACACACACACACACACACACACACACACACCACACACACACACACACACACACACACACACACACACACACACACACACACACACACACACACACACACACACACACCACACACACACACACACACACACACACACACACACACACACACACACACACACACACACACACACACACACACACACACACACACACACACACACACACACACACACACACACACACACACACACACACACACACACACACACCACACCACACACACACACACACACACACACACACACACACACACACACACACACACACAGCACACACACACACACACACACCACACACACACACACACACACACACACACACACACACACCACACACACACACACACACACACACACACACACAGCACACACCACACACACACACACATACACACACACACACACACCACACACACACACACACACACCACACACACACACACACACACACACACACACACACACACACACCCACACCCCCACACACACTACACACACACACACACCACACCACAACACACACACACACACACACACACACACACACACACACGCGCGCGCGCGCACACTCACATAAGCTATATTCCCAAGATATCACTCTTCATTGCACATTTTCTAAAGTGACTAGTTTTAGAGCAGAGTCGATATCATCCGTATGTATATAAAATTCAAGCTCTCTCGTGACTATTCCAACATGGATCTCATGTCTACGTACATTAGTTTTTGTAGTACCGGTATGGCCCAAAACATACTACATGCATATCACAATACAGACACAGACATACAGAGCATTTACGCATTACGTAGACTCATCCTTATCAGATAACAACGCTCATCCGCGACACGCAACATGCTCAATGCCCTGCCCTTTCCGTCCTAATGGTGGCCCCCCGTACAGGTGGAGGGTTCCAAGCACATTTGTCTGTTTATTAATGAGAGGATCTCATTCGCGGATGTATATTGCCTCCTAGAGCGACTAGCCTTCGTCTCCGTGGCGAGTATGCGATGATTTTTGTGTTGTTGAACATTTGAAGTGTCAGGTGAGTTTTGTGTTGGGTCTCCCTTATGTTTGCGTGGGCCGCCGTTTCACAGGCACATGGTCGGACGCCTAGAAAGTGTCGTTGTGTGGCCAATATACGCCTTATTAGATAGGAGCGTCCGTCTCATATCTTGCATTTATAGTGACATATGATGTTTTCTTCAAGTGAAGCCAAAAACGCAATCATGTGAAGAGTTTTTTTTGCGTGATCGAGGTGGATGTATTGGACCGTGGTGATAGACGTCAAATTTGATGATGTTGTTGGGATCCTTTGTTTGGCAATTTCGATGGGCAATGCTTTGCGGATATTTTTTTCCTTCAACTCCATAACCAGGGTGCGCAGCGTTTTTTTTTTAATAGCAGGTAGTACGTATTCGGAAGTTATGTATCTTTTTTAATAAACAGACAAAAATGCGTAGAACCATCCATTTGTACCGATGACCACCATTAGGGTAGAGCACGAATGGGCATTGAGCGTTTTGCGTGTGGCGGATGAACGTTGTTATCTGACAATGATGAGTATGTGTAGTGTATAAATGCTTAGCTCTGTATTGTACTATGTATGTAGTATATTTGCGGTATACCGGTATTACAAAAAACTGATGTACGAAGGCATGATGGATTAGTCACGAGAGATTACAAAAACGTGATTATATTGACCATGTCTAGACCATGATGATTATAATCACCATGCCGTGATTATATTGACCATGTCTATATATATATATATATATATATATATATATATATATATGTTTAGAGAATATATTTGTGAATATTCTTAAGTATTAGTATTTAGTATATTATCAGTATTTGAGAAGTGCACAGACCCCTGCTTAAGTTTCATGACAGTTAGCTGACTGAAACTCACAGAACCGATACTCCCTGACACATACAACAGTACCGCTCCCTATTCAGGCTAACATTCAGATGTTCACTGGTGCATAGGACCAACTGCTCCGCTTTATCCTTTAGTCTTATCCACCTAAAAATGTTAATTGCATGCCAGAAGCAAATATAACAGCACCTGCCAGTTCTTAGTCCCTCTAACCTGTAAGCGGACGCTATGGTCTCGGCGGTGTCGCTGAGGCGGCGGGCCGGAAGTCTGTCATCAGGACAAAAGGCCGGATCCAGTGTTCACGGCCGTCTGTCATTTTCCCAGTATGCGCCCATACTGGCATTACCTGGACGGGTTGTTTTCTGCTCTACACTTCGATGGCATATTCCCCCCCGCCGTTTTGAGCGTATGCCATGCGGATCGCTTGAGTGTTTGATATCTGCAACATTCCAGCGTTTGACTTGCTCCTTCATATTAATGCTTAGTACGACTGTGATCAAGAGCTTTTTAATTTTGTGTCGCTCAAGATCTTTGTTCATATGTAACTCAAGTGTTAGACACGTTTGTCGTTTTTAGCGTTTAATTCATCTATCCTTACACTGTGAAATCCGCTCGACATAGCTTAGCGAAGTGTTTGACTACTAAAGTTTTTGAGGTATTTAGTCCCCGGTGGATTAGGTGATTTTCCTGACAGCAGTGCGTATACACCCTCCAAAACAGAGGGCGGTTACGCACCGGGCTTATACTCCCTCCAAAAATCTTTCAGATGGTTGTACGTGTCAGACATACGCGGATTGGCAGCCTTGGAGGGAAGAAAGTGCAAAAACACAGAATCCGGTGTGAAAAGTCGGTTCCGTGCGTGATAGCCATCAAACGATCACGAAATCCATCAACTCACTCTGAACCATTTCTATCCGAGTCACAAATTTTCGGCCGTTGGGCCCGCATTTCTAGTGGATGGATGCTGGTCTGGTCTGAGTGCTGGTCTCGCACGCGGTAAGCCTGGGTTCGAATTTCGACAACGGCCGATGTTAAGTGGGTGGCTTCATGGCCTATCGGCGCGGCGTGATGATGCTAACTCGCTTCACTTCTAAGCGGAATGAATTATAAATAGGGCTTTTCATATCGGACAGCACCGTAGTTTCTAATGCTAGGGGAGGGAGTCCACACCCTACGGAGATATTGAGGATCCCTTGAAGGTTGACCGTGAATTCAAATGAGTGTGACACACTGAATAGGCAGTGGAAATGACTCATACGACGGCGGAGGCATGCATAATTACGTTCGACAATCGCGCGTAAAAATTCATCGGCGCGCATTCCACTGCTGCTCAAAGGTTAAAGCACCAAGGCCAAAAGGGACGGAATCTGAGCGGTCATGGGTGCCGCAGGAGACCAACACAATGGTTCCCGTCAACAAGTATAGGGTCCTCAGAGCAAGCAAAAAGAACACAAGACCAACGTGGTAGTCCCCTAAACGATCGGTAGTGCCTCGACAGGCTGACCTATAAAGCCCCGGTCATAGCACAGGACCCTCCGAGCAAAGCGGAATTATTAAAGACTATAAATTAGTACCCCTGTGCAATCGAGAGTGCACGGACAGGTTAGCAGCACGAGTCTCGATAGGAGTGAAAAGTCAACCGTAAATAAGACCAAAGGGGTAGGCCCTAAGCAAGTGACAAAGAATTGGAAACGCCCTAGACCAATGTAGAGGACCCATGGGCATATCGCGTGTGTCGGTAGGTTAAACGATACCTACGTAAAGGGCCCCTGAGCAACCTGAGAATATCCCGGCAGGTTAAGGCATGGGACTCTGGCTACCGCTCACAGAACCTTTCTGGCAACTAGAAATAATCCGTGGATGGGTCCGTGATTGACAAGAGTTCCCCGGCACGCTAACAGGGAGTGTCCCAACATCAGCGCAGGGCCCTCTGAGCAAATGCAAAGAAATGAAGAACAACGCGGAATGCTCCTAAACGACCGAAATAAACTTGCAAAGGGCATATAGGTCCTCCGGAAACAGCATGGGGCCCTAGACGGTCTAATGTTGCTTAAAATTTCCAGTTCACAACTTTTCCAATCATTGAGTAATTTTTTGGACTTCTCATAGGCCCTTCACGTTTGCTTGCAACTACTCTTGGTGGCCTGAAAGTCCAGAGATACCCAGTTTTGTCACGTTTTGCGTTAAAAAACTGTACCTGTTCGGCCGGCTGTGGGCCCACCCGGAGCCAATGGGTCCCTTCGGGGCCCAGGGGGGGGGGGGGGGCATACCCCGTGGCCCCCTCTCTGGATCCGCCCCTGCTTGCTACCGTACGTTTTTGGGGGAAATTTTTGTTATTTTCCACTTTTTGCCCCTTCCCCGAACTCAGTTTGCCCTTGACGTCGGACTAGTCGTGGAAAGAAAAGCGATTGATCCTAAGCTTGAAGTGTCATTCAGGTGACCACGACGAAATCTCAAATGGGAGTACCGTAAATCCGATATGGGAGTCGAAGGGCTGGCTAAAGGTCATGGAGGGGGTGCGGGTCGGATCTTCAAATACCATCCAGAGGGCCCGTTGCACCGATTGGGCCTGGGCCTGGGCCTGGGAGCCCATTTCCAAGCAGGGACAAGGTCAGGACCCGCGATTTACATTGGTCAGTGCACCCCGAGCCAATGAAGGGCCCCTGTGTCTCCCAGGGGCACACAGCACCTAACCGGAGGTCAGGTGTTGACAAGGGCCCCCGAGTTGGTCAGGGAGTGCACGAAAGTGCCTGAAGAGGGACCGACGTGTCCTTCAAGACTGACGATAAACGGGCCTATGGAAAGGCTGCATGGCCGTAGGGGTCGAAAGGATGCAGTCATCCTGGCCCGCATGGCTGTGATCCCATCCTGTCATCCCGACCCGCGATTTGCATTGGTCGGAGTCCCTACAACAATGAGTGGTTTTTTGACGGTCAGGCCCCCAGAGTGTCCAACAGGGGGCCCTGTGACGGAAGGAGTCCCGAGTCAGCCAGAGGTGACCCGGGGCCTTTGCGGAACCCTTCACCCCGTTTTAGCCAAGGGTCCGTTGGCGAAACATGGGTCTCTGTGCCAGTTATTGGATCACCTGCGGTTATCAGAGATCTTGTTGCCCCAATGAGGGCTCTTGCGCCTATTCCGGGTCAAATGCCCCGGCCAGAAGCTGCCAAAGGGCCTTCCGCGCCAGGGAGGGCACCAATGTAGGACGTACATCTGTGAGGGCCTCCGGACGAACCCACCAGGCGAACCCGCCTCCATGTCGCCAGAATGGCAGCTGGTAGACACTCCGGTCTGAGGCGGAATGATCTTGAAGCAATGGCCCGGAAGGGTCGTGTGCGCCTAACTTTTCACTAATGTTTTCTTATTTTGCACATTACATTACACATAAAGTTTACCCATTACACAATTTCAATTAATGTTTCCACAAGTTGCTGGCCTCATTAAGATTTACGGCCAACCTTCACGGGATCCTCATTATCTCTGTAGGGTGTGAACTCCCTCCCCTTGGAGGGACGGAGTCCTCTTTATCTTTAGTCCTCCCTGTGGCTTTAGAAACTACGCTGCTGTCCGGTATGAAAATCCCAAATAATAATTCATTCCGCTTAGAAGTGAAGCGAGTTGGCATCATCACGCCGCACCGACAGACCATGAAGACACCCACTTAACAGCGGCCGCCGTCAAGATTCGAATCCGGGCTTACCGCGTGCGAGACCAGCATGCTCACCATCCATCCAATGGAGATGCGGGCCCGGCGGCTGAAAATTTGTGTTCACAATAGCACTGGTTCAAACTGAGTTGATGGATTTCGTGATCGTTTGATGCCTATCACGCATGGAGCTGACTTTTCGCGCGGGATTCTGCATATTTGCACCTGCTTCCCGCTAAGGCTGGCAATCCGCGTATGCTTGACACGCACAACCATCTGAAATTTTTGTTGGAGGGAGAATAAGCCCGATGCGTAGCCACCCTCCATTTTGGAGGGTGTATAGGCCCGGTGCGTAACCACCCTCGGTTTTGGCGGGTGTATAAGTCCGGTGCGTAACCGCCCCCCGTTTTGGCGGGTGTATAAGCCCGGTGCGTAAATGCCCTCTGTTTTGGAGGGTGTATAGGCCCGGTGCGTAACCGTCCTCCGTTTTGGAGGGTGTATATGCGCAGCCTTTCCTGACTTTGATTGGGACGTTGGCCTCATATGCGTTTTGAGCGTAGAACCAAGATATTACTTGCTTCTGAGCATTAACCTTACCTGCCATAACGCGTTAGTGTGTTTAATTGGAAATGCATCCATTTGAGCATCCTGCTTGTCCGTCATTTCAGCAGCAGTAATCTGTCATTTAAGTGCTAGTTCTTCCGTCGCTTGGGCGTTAGGCCCATCTGACAGCGACGCCGACTGCTAACTCATTCATGGTTTAAGCGTGAGGCTCGTCGATGTCTATCGCATGTTTATCGTATGGCTATCGTATCATACTTGTCTATCGTATGAACGCGCAGCCTGCATAGCTTCTACTAAGCGCTAGACACCTGCCGTGTGAGCCGTAGACTTCGTTGTTCGCGACCTGAAGTCATTTATCTTTAGATCGTTGAACCTCTTTGGCGTTTGGCCAGTAGACGCACTTCTTAAGACTCACAAGCTGTCTGAACTCCGGACTCCTTTGCCGACTTCGCCGTTTCAACACGAGACTTCGTCTTTTTACCGACAGCACGTTTTTTTTGACGGGTATCTTCTTTGGTCCCGAATCCGAATTGCACAACAGCTAGAATAAATAAGAGAAAAGCCCATTGCATGCTGACATAGCTATCGACCTTGCCGGCAAATTTCGGAATCGGGGTTGTTTCACCAGTTCGTCATTTTTCGTTTGCAGCGTGCCGCAAAATAAAATGTACCGTATGAGTTAGCCACATGGAGCCAAATTATGAAACATTTATGGTTGAATAAAGGCATCGTGAAGCAAAAAGCTTCTTGCTGTACATTTTCCGGTTATTTCTTTACAGTTGACGCTAAAAGCTAAGCTTAGGCCTTGTTTATTCGTTGACTCCGGCTCTGTTTAATTTAATTTTCGTGCACTACACATTCGGTACCAAATCAGGTTCCTGACTAATCCTGTCAGCGTGAAAAGCACTACTCTCTCATTTGGGCATCAGGCTTGCCCTATAAGCCGTCGTCGTTGGGGTTCAGCGACGCACTCAGCTAGCTGAAGTATTATGACCTTGCCTGCCTCTCAACCCGGACAGGAAAGGCAGGCGGTGTCTCATCAGCCAAAGCGTGGAGCCAAAACATGACGTCGCTTGCCGTCAGAGCCATGCCGGGGGAGGACAGCGAGGCAGCCGGCGGTCCTGCAGTTCGGATCGTGGCTGATGACGGCGACGCGTCTCCCCCGTGTCCCCGCTCGGCACAGCCGAGCCCGCCGGCGTCCTGGGCGCTCTCTCCAGCGCCGGACGGGTCCGCGCAGGGCGGCGGTCTGACGTCGGGCCACGACATCTGCCGCGCCAGGTCTGCGCCAGACCAGAGGTCAGGCCGTCTGCTTGTTAGGTGAGGGTCCGGTTTGCGAACCCGGTGTCAGGAGAGGGTCCAGTCGACAGACCCAGTGTCAGGAGAGGGTCCAGTCTGCGGACCCAGTGTCAGGAGAGGGTCCAGTCGGCAGATCCAGGGTCAGGTGAGGGTTCGGTCAGCAGATCCAGGGTCAGGAGAGGTTCCGGTCGGCGGACTCATTGTCAGGTGAGGGTCCGGTCCGCGGACCCAGTGTCGGGAGAGGGTCCAGTCGGCAGATCCAGTATCAGGAGAGGGTCCGGTCTGCGGACCCAGGATCAGGTGAGGGTTCGGTCAGCAGACCCAGTGTCAGGTGAGGGTTCGGTCAGCAGACCCTGGGTCAGGCGAGGGTCCGGTTGGCGAACCCGGGGCGCCGGACCGCCGCAGTCCCAGTGTGCAGTTTGCCGGGTGGTCTGCCACCGTCCCGTAGCCCTCTCTGCCAACGCAGCTACTACCCCGCCAGACAACAAGGGAACAAGCCGATGAGAGAGCTAGAGAGGGCATAGGAAAACGAGCAAGATAGAGGGAGAGAGGGAGACATAGAGGGAGAGAGAGAGAGAGAGAGAGAGAGAGAGAAGAGAGAGAGAGAAGAGAGAGAGGAGAGAAGAGAGAGATAGTAGAGAGAGAGAGAGAGAGAGAGAGAGAGGAAGGAGAGAGAGGAGGAGAGGGAGAGAGAGAGAGGAGAAGAGGAGAGGAGAGAGAGAGAGAGAGAGGGAGAGAGAGAGAGAGAGCGAGAGAGAGAGAGAGAGAGAGAGAGAGAGAGAGAGAGAGAGAGGAGAGAGAGAGAGAGATGAGAGAGAGAGAGAGGAGAGAGAGAAGAGAAGGAGAGAGAGAGAGAGAGTAGAGAGAGAGAGAAGAGAGGAGAGAGAAGAGAGAAGAGAACTAGAGAGAGAGAGAGAGAGAAGGAGAGAGAGAGAGAGGAGAGAGAGAAAGAGAGAGAGAGAGGAGAGAGAGGAGAGAGAGAGATAGAGAGAGAGAGAAGAGAGAGAGAGAGAGAAGAGAGAAGAAGAGAGAGAGAGAGAGGAGCGAAGAGAGAGAGAGAGAAGAGGAGAGAGAGAGAGAAGAAGAAGAGAGAGAGAGGAAGGAGAGATAGAGAGAGAGAGAGAGAGAGGAGAGAGAGAGAGAGAGAGAAGAAAGAGAGAGAGGAAGAGAAGAAGAGAGAGAGAGAGAGAGAGAGAGAGAGAGAGAGAGAGAGAGAGAGAGAGAGAAGGAGAAAGAGAGGAGAGAGAGGAGAGAGAGAGAGAGAGAGGAGAGGAGAGGAGAGAGGAGGAGAGAGAGAGAGAGAGAGGAAGGAAGCAGGGAGCAAGAAAGCGGGCCGACATGAGGACGAGAGTAAAAGAGAGAGGGCGAGTGCCAAACCTGGCTGTGGTCGTCGGTCATGCATCGCAATAATTCATGCCACGCCGGGACGGGTCAGCGTATTTACCGTCGTATTTACCTCACCCTATTTACCCACACCACATATCCAAGGGCCCAGATGCGCAACAGCTCTCATCCAAAGTGCATGCACACACGAGGCGCACAGGTGGACGGGAAATCTAATCGGATTGGCCCGCTATCTTCTGGGAAATCGCCTTCCTATCGATGTGTGATATTGCTGGAGCATATTGCTCCGTTGACCAGACCGGCGGAAGATTGGCCCTGCCCCTCTAACGATCGTACATGGTAGAGGCGGGCTGGCTGCTGAAGCCCACACAGCTTGTCGCCAAGATTAGACTGTAGGCGGAAGAAATTTCCAGCAATTACCTCTGACCAGCGCCGAGCAGCCGGCCGCTATATGTGTCCTACGTTCTGTGTTCTTCTCGGCGATCCAGTGAGAATGCGGCCAGTAGCTTAGAACGCCGCAGTTGCAAAGAAACATGGGGAGCTGCGGCTGTGGAATTTCGTGCCCCGACTGCCTCTAGTGATGACACTGTCTGAGGCGCTCAAAATTCCAGCCACTGTCTGAGGCGCTCAAACTTCCAGCCACTGTCTGAGGCGCTCAAACTTCCAGGGTCTCTCCGTAACCCGCAAAACCTCATGGAGCCGTGAGTGGCGGATGGTTTGGCACTAGGTTACTGCATGGTTCAACAGGATTTCAGGCAATTAGCATGTTAGAATAACAGACATTGTTAACGTTCAATTATTCTCCATCACCCTCACAAGGCAGCTGCGCTACCCATATATAACTCACGACCATCGGGGAAGTGAAATTGAGGACCTGTCCTCCAAAAGCGTGCAGGCTCCACCATCGGTCCTGCAGACACTTTCACATAAGCTAATTAGTGTGCGTCACAAGAAGCGACTCGAGAAAGAGCGAAACACTTCCACTGGGCAATTAGTTGGCTACTTTGAGCCAACTATTAGGTTGTAGGTAGTAGGTTGATCCGACTATTTTCTTTTTTCTTTGAGCGTCGCTCAACCGGCGTGCGTTTCCAATCAGGCGGTAATGGTTTTTGCCGCTGGCACCTTAGCTGTCGTTAGTTATCGATAGCGAAAAACAAATACCGTGAAAAGACACTTTTGGATTTGAAAAATATTAATATATATTAATTATTGTAATATATATATGTATATATATACATATATATATATATATATATATATATATATATATATATATATATATATTGCACATGCATCATATATAAAATAGTATATATAAAATAATATATAATTGAATGATAATACATTGCACGTGAAAATGTCTGGAAGTGTCTGGCACTGCGCTGCTGATGTTAATCACCTGCTGCTGCATTGCACAGGTGCCCAGACCCGGGGTTTTACCGGTCCGAGTTCCGATCCACCGAGGACATGATGATGGGCAGCAGGTACAACGTGCGCGACTTCACCGACGACTTCAGCGCCATGGACCCCAGTCAGTTCCACTTCTACGACTTCGGGATTCAGGACTTCCTGGTCATGAAGCGGCACACGACCGTGGTATGTGGCCAGACGTCGACGTCCGCCCGACACGTGCCTCGCAACAGGCGGTCTTCCTCGCGGTAATGTACGCGAGAGCGCACCAAACTCCCACCGCGCAACGTGGGCACTGCTCCTGCACATTCCGCAAATTTTTCCCCGAGTCGCGACAATAACCGGTGTTGAAGTTTCCAACAGTAATAACGCGGCAGCTTATGCAACGATACATTATGAAAGCCTTCAGCGGAGAAACGTGCTGTTAACCCGATCACACCCAGGATGTACCGGCGGGGAACGGTCTGTGCACGACCCGTCTGCGCGGCAGGAGCTGGACGACGAGCCGGAGGGGATGCAGCAGGGCGACTACAACCAGGGCATGAGTATCTCCCCCGGCCCCTACCTCAGCGACTCGGATCTGTCTGTCACCAGCATCGAACTCTCCCCAGAGCAGGTCAGCTGACGCATGGGCCTCTGTCAATCAGGCTGGGAATACGGGTCAAACGGGCTCGCATTTCACGGTGTCCATTGACAGGTTAAAAAAGCTGATACAGTGAAGAATCACCACAGCGTTGACGAAACTTATGCCCGCTTCGTTGAGTCGGAAGTATTCTCTGCTATTCTCGAAAGCCACTCTGCTATTCTGTGAAGTATTCTAAGCTAGTGGTATTCTCTTGCTCTCACCCACATACTCGTCCGCATAGGGGTACGCGACACATGCTACCTTTCTTTTGGGTAAGCTGAATGTGGCGTGTGCTGCCGCATAGACCAGCCTGCATTAAGCGTCAGACCTCCATCTGCGTGCCGGCTCAGCGCCAGCATCATCGGCCTTCCGCGCTTAAGTGCATTCATTTTTGTTGGTGAGACGCGCCAACAGGACCAGCATTGAACGCTTGCCTATTGGCACATCGTGATAGGTTGCCTCCATAGCTAGACCGCCCGCGCACGATGAATCCGTAACATCCGCTGCCAAATCCACCAGCTGCATAGCTCTACGAAGCCAGCATCACCTTCGACGGCGTCTTTTGACCAGGCCATCTCGCCACCAGGTGCTGTGGGAGAAGAAGCTGACCGAAGAGGCGTCCATCCTGAAGAACTGCCTGCTGCGGCGTGGCCGGCGGCAGACCAACTCCTCGCACGAGGTCGGCCGGGGCCGCGTGCGCGTGCTCAGCCGACGCGCCACTGAGAACTGCTTCGGTCTGCAGACCAATGCGGCCAGCAAGAAGGTGCTCATCCGACCTGTATCCGTCACAGAACTGGGTCAGTTCAGGTCGTGGGCGTGGGAGAGATCAGATCACGGGACTGAGGGAGGCCAGGTCATGGTTCTGAGTCTCAGGTCAGTTCTAGGTCTGGTCAGGGGACAGGGAGGGTCCGGCTGGGGGACTAGGTTAGTCAGGTCACGGTGTCGGGGCAGGTCAGATCATGGAACGGGAAAAACTGGGCCAGTCGGGTCACTGTGTTGGTGCAGGCCAGGTCCTGGAGCTGGGGCAGGTCAGACCAGCTCTGGACAAGCTCCGGCTGCTGGACTGGGCCGGTCAGGTCACGGCTTTGGTGAAGGTCAGGTCCTGGGACTGAGACAGGGCATGTCTTGGGTTTGGAATGGATCAGGTCGTGAGATGGGCGGATTTATGAGACGAATGCACGTCGGGTCCCCGGGCTTGGAGGTCATGTCACGGGATGGGAAAGGTCAGATCATTGGTTTGAAGTAGGTCAGGTTATTGGGCTGGGACAGTTCAGCTCACAGATATAGTGAGGGTCAGATCACTGGCCTAGCGCAGGTCTGATCATGGCACTGGGGAAGGCCAGCTAGAGTATTCGGGCCTGTCCAAGCCACGCTCCTGGAACAGTACAGGTCGTAGCAATGGACTACTTTCAACATCGTAAATGACTATAGTAAACATCCGTCGAGACCGGGTCAAACCAGATTATGCGGCTGAATCCATTAGGTCACAGCTGCTCGTTCAGTTTATGGTTGGTGCTCATGGGATCGCAGCTGGGGCACTTCATCGTTATTGGTCTGGATCAGCTCGAGTCACCGGGTTAGACATGTAAGATCCTCAGGATCATTCAGCTCAAGTTATGGGGCTTCGGTAGGTTTGCTGATCGGTCGGGGTAGCTGACTGCTGAAAGTCGAGCCAGTCAACTGCTTGGACAAGCGCATTATCACCTTAGCGCATTTTGACCATTTGTATACGCTTTTTCCACATGCTCTTAGATTAAGTGATGAGTCCATTGCTCTTTTGGACAACTGCACAGATGGCCTCTAGGCGTACCAAGCCAATCCGAATTCCAAACACTCCTCCCAACTCCTCCCGGCCGCGTCACACCCTGCGCCCACCATACCGCTGGCCTTTTCTGCTGGGGCTCCCCGCTGGACCCTCCGCTATGCCTCGAGGTCACACCGCCAGTTGTCACGGTTCCCGGTGACTGCAGGTCCGCTGTGTCTCGAGGTCACACCGCCAGTTGTCACGGTTCCCTGGTGACTGCAGGTCCGCTATGCCTCGAGGTCACACCGCCAGTTGTCACGGTTCCCTGGTGACTGCAGGTCCGCTGTGTCTCGAGGGCATACCGCCAGTTGTCACGGTTCCCCGGTGACTGCAGGTCCGCTATGCCTCGAGGTCACACCGCCAGTTGTCACGGTTCCCTGGTGACTGCAGGTCCGCTGTGCCTCGAGGGCACACCGCCAGTTGTCACGGTTCCCCGGTGACTGCAGGTCCGCTGTGTCTCGAGGGCATACCGCCAGTTGTCACGGTTCCCCGGTGACTGCAGGTCCGCTGTGTCTCGAGGTCACACCGCCAGTTGTCACGGTTCCCGGTGACTGCAGGCAGGCAGGGTGATGAGGGGGAGAGCTGCCGGCTGGACATCGGCGAAGACTGTGGCAGCGGCTGCAGCCTCAGCAGCGGCTAGCCGGGGGCGCCACCGTGTCACCTCGACCGCACCAGGCCAGACAGGTCAGGGCTCGTACCGCACCGCCCAGCGCGGCAGCCGAAGCGGACCGAGGCGGCGCAGGCAGAGAAGTATTTAGCAACGGGCAATTGGTCAGCCAACAAGGGCATGTGGGAAAGTCTGGCTCTGTCAGGCCATAGTCAGGCGAGACAGTCCGGATCTGTCAGGTCAGGATCAGGTGGGACTGTCCGGCTCTGTCAGGTCAGGGTCAGGTAGGACTGTCCGGATCTGTCAGGTCAGGGTCAAGTGGGACAGTCCGGCTCTGTCAGGTCATGGTCGGGTGGGACAGTCCGGCTCTGTCAGGTCAGGGTCCGGTGGGACAGTCCGGCTCCAGCAGAACCACGTCTCGTGAGGCCAGTTACAATGAATATGCGCAAAATGTGACGTTTATGCTCCGAACTGTCGCTGTCATTTTCACGATTTCGGCTCAGTTTGGCTTCAGTTGCCATATCCACCACGCAGCCTAAAAGTCATGATATTCTGCACTCCGGCGTTACTTCTCTGATGCCATATCGATTGGTGTCACCCGGATTCATAGCTGCTGGTTAGACCGAGTGGCGTTCGCTGCTATGAGACCAGTATTATATGGTTATCGAGGCTCGATTGTCAAGCCCCGTGTTTTGTCCGTCGCCTGACATTTCGTCCCCTAATATTGGATGGTCGGTCTGATGCCGAGACATTGATTTCAGGAACTGGCCTTCACGGCCATTTGGATCAAGCGCTGGATTCTTCGAACCGACAGCCGCCAACAGCGTCAGTAACCCACTTGCTTGTCAGACCGGCAACATCCGGCGTCGTCGGTAATGCCCTGGAGTTGTCAGACTGGCACCGATCTGGCAGCGTCCTAGGCCCGCTGTGTGAGGACGGCAGATCTGGCAGCACCAGGCGTCGCCGGTTCTCGTCACGCTGGCAGCTCCAGCGGCGTCACGTGCGTCTGTACCCGTCAAACCGAGCGCTCTGACGGGGCTGTGTGTGTGTTCTGGATCTGTCACACTCCTGCTCCAGCGGTGACACGTGTGTCGCAGTTCTGGCAATTTGCCATGTCTGGCAATAGCGTCCGTTTTTTAAACCCTGCCAGGAAGCTCATTCCTCGGATGCCCGCACTTCCCTCCAGGTTGAAGGCAGGTACCGCCATGTATTATCTAAGCGATGAGTGTGTCCTTAAGTCCCTATGAAAGCGCCTGGGAAGCCCTCGCAGCCATGCGTGCTGTTGGCCTGTCAAGCTCACAGCTCTCTCATCGCCAGGCAGGCGACACGAGCGTGGGAAGGTTGGACACTGGCTCATGGAATATTGGGCGCTTCCCGAAGCTGTTCGTTCGGCGTCAGTTTTGTTCAAGAAATGTGCATTCGATTATAATTTGTTGTGCCTTGTGTTTGCTGGATGCATGCGGCTTAGCAGGGCTTGTCTTAGTTAAGCGATGACAGCTGTATTGGTGTGGACGTTCTTGGTGTAATAAAAGCAAAACCAGAAAATGTGTGTCGCACCGGCAGTTTTTCGGGCTTGATAGAAGACTTCAGATCAACTGAAAAGGCTCCGAGATTTCTAATACATGAAAAGTTTTGATGCTGAAAGATTAAACTTTCAATGTAACACGAGTACAAGGCATTGTTTCAAAAAGCTTCGTAAAATTATGTAAGTTGTGTACATATGCGAGGAATATTATGCATATAGATAGCAGCATTAATAGCGTTATGGTTCATAAGGAGGAAAAAGAGAGATAGATGTGATACTTTGGCTACATGTCTTTATCGAAACGAGTATAAGTAGTGAGTTCCAAATGCAGGATTAAGTATAACCTCTTTAATAAGTGCGAATTCATTCTGATGACAATAATTTACTACTGCCCTTTTTCGGTGAAGTGATTTCGCCAAAATATCATATCGTTCCTTTCATTCCTCTATTGCGCGAAGAACGAGACTTTTAATACGGTCTCATTTCTATGCTTTGTAAAAAGGTATCCTCAAGGAGCTCGTTAGACAAAGACGTCAAACAACCATTCAGACGTATTTTGAAAGCGCTCGAGGTTTCCAGCAGCACTCGTGGTCACGAGGGACCATGAACTATGGACCATCGACCTTGACCCTCAACGCCACAGCGATGCTGACGATCGCGAGTGATCGCGAATACTGCTGGAAACGTCGAACATTGCCATAATATATTCCAGGAACTGCTTGTCGTCCTCGTTCGACAACATCCTGGCGCATTGAGGGTTCCTTATTTTCACACATGATCGCGTGTGAAAACAACAGAGACGCAGGCCTTTTTGATCTCCTTATCCTTGTATTTAGTTAAGCGCGTTTATGGCCTGGTCTCCTGCCGTTTCTGACTGGCAAATTTTCTTATGATGATTGTAGTGCATGGCAAGATTGAAGGACAGTAGCGGGAGACAAACCGATCGCATGTGGCATGCTATCACGTGCCATGCCGTTCCATGCCAAAACGCAAGGACAATACGAACGATGCTTGCGGCTGAAGTGAGCAGTGCGGCACGTCATGCGTCACTGGTGCACAGCGCAATGCTTACGATTCAAAGTTGCAGCGAATGAAACACGGCGAAACTGCAAAAATATATAAACGCACGGTACATTCGCCACAGCAACAGAATCAGTTGGAATGCTGGAGAGCGTGACCTCTCTGGATATTGGAAGAGGCAGCGTTGACCTGTCTGAATATTGGGAGAGACGCCGATCTCTCCGAATATTGAAAAAGGCGCTGGCCCCTCTGAATATTGGAGGAAACGCTGGCTTTAGATCTTCCAGGCCATGCGCTGTCGTACAGTTCGATACAAACACTCCTACACAAATACATGAACACGATTAAACCCCAGAAATTACACGCTCGCATTGATGACACATGAATGATTGCGGTACCACATCATGACAAAAGGCCGCACAACATTTCGGCCGTCAAATGCCAGACCTAGTTCCGTAGCTCTGGCGCATCTGTGTAATATCAACGGCTAAACTACCACCAGTGTCGTAAAAAGCCGAACAGACGAGCTTCTCACCAACAAAACTCAGAACATTTCATGCTCCCAACTTAATATCCAGTGGCATGAATGATGTTTCATGATGCACGGTGGATAGATTGCAAAGCGAGAGCAATGCATCTTTCTCAAACATGTCAAGTGAAAATAACATAAATCACTCAAACTGCTGCTTATAAAAAATGATGACGATGGAGTGCTTCAACATCCCCTTCCACACGCGCTCACCAGCTTGCCGATGCAGCCGCGTCACTCCCTCACGGCTTGCATCGCAACCCAGAAGGACCGTCTATCAACCGCAACCGAATAAAACCATTCGCCTTTGACTATCGCTTGGAGCCACACCGTGCGGCCGGGTTTCCACCCGTCCAGGTAAGGCGCCGCGAGGTCACACAGCGAGTCCAGGTCAGACGCCACAAAGTCACACAGCGAGTCCAGGTCAGGCGCCGCGGGGTCACACCACGAGTCTAGGACAGGCGCCGCAAAGTCACACAGCGAGTCCAGGTCAGGAACCGCGGGACCACACAACGAGTCCAGGTCAGGTGCCGCGGGTCACACAACGAGTCCAGGTCAGGCGCCGCGGGGTCACACAGTGAGACCGCCTGGGATCACCACGCCCGATCACCGATCTCGATCACCGAGTCTCCGGACCGTTCCCAGCGGTGATGCCGGCTCAGTCAACCCGGCCGGGCACGAACAGGAGCCTCTCCCTTCCCCTCCCCCACCGTACGGGCGGCCGTGCAGAGGATACCCGCGTCTCGCATGCCCTGAGGCAGCCACCTTCGCCTCGCCTTGCTTCTCCGCGAGGGGGCGGCGCCAAACACGGCGTCAGTCACACCTGAGGTCGAGCTCGAACACGCCTGTTCCGCTCGTGTGAGTCCGCCATGACATTGAATCTGCCGCCGTAGTCACACAGCCACGTCTTCGGTTGGCCGGGCCTCGCCCAGTCCCGGCACCGGCGGCCACCGCCTCGGTCTCAGCGGCGGTTTAGATGGCGGCCAGCGCGCCCAGCGGCTCCCGATCCGTGACGTCACGCTCCGGAGGCGGCATCCGGCTGCTGTCGGCGCGGCCCAGCGCGACCGGGTCACGTGACCGCGGCGGGCGGGGCCGCGCTGCCGAGCGTTGCGAGTCACGTGACCGCACTGGCAGCGGCGAGTCGGGCTCGGCGGCGGCGGCGGCGGCGGCGGCCAGCGGGTGACCGGTGGCGCCGCCCGCGTCCAACGGCGGAGTCACAGAGAGCGCCGGGTTGTCGTAGGCGGCGCTGTACTCTCCTGGACAGGTGTCCTCAGACGGGTGGCGACCCCGCGCCCCCTTCAACTCGTCCCCGTGCTTGGTGGCCATCAGGAACGAGGAGTTATGCCGGCCGAGCGTGTACTGCGGTACAGTATTCGCCTTGGGGCTAATGACCGGCGGGGAAGTGTTAGCCTGCGAAAACACCCGACACACGTCAACACGTCTGATCTGCTCTGGCAACGGCGCTGCGGTGGCCACGCCGGATAAGCCGTTTGAGTTTAGGACGCTCTCTGAGAACCTGAGCTCCGATTTAGACAGCGTGTGGGCGACAATGGTTCCGCTCGTTTCATTAGCACTCCTTACATTCACGCCCCGACACAGCTGCCGCACCGCCCACTGACGCATTTCTCATCGATGACGTCATTTATGATGACACGAGTGTGTTTGTGTGAGTCACGGGCGGTCAGAGAGGTGGCCACTTGCCGCGCACAGACGCACTTTATACGGATGGCGCCAACTGGCGTTCTCTTCCGCTGCCTATAGCACGGTGCCACTGTTACATCTTTTAGAGCCTCGTCAGCGACAAGAAGCCCGTCAGGTTCAGCAGGACAGCCCGCTCCTCAGAGACGACAGGGGCTCTCAGGGACGGACCCCAGAGGCGTCAGAGGCACCTCAGCCACAGCAGGCTGGGGCGTCAGGCACCTCAACCACAGCCTGCAGGGGCGTCAGGCACCTCAGCCACAGCCTCCAGGGGCGTCAGGCACCTCAGCCACACCCCGGAGCCCCTCGTGGACGACAGCAATGGATAGTAACTCCTGAGGGGTAGCGGGATATTCCGGAACTGCAGCGAGCCCCTGCGAGGAGACCGGGACAACACAGGGACACCAGTAAGGTTTTTTGGAGAGGTCGGGACGGAAAAAAGCACTAAGAGTGTTTTCGGCCAAGAAATGAAGGCCCTTATACAAGCAAGGTATCCTCCTTGTGAAAAGCAGAGCGCCCCGATTAGGACGCAGGGAGTTTCACAAGGTCTTTCGAAAAACTTGAAGGATCAGGGACTGAGCGCTGAAAGGAAGAGCAGAAAACCCCAAACGCATACGCATACTTTACGAGTCAGCAAAGCTCACATCGTCGTACCCGACAGCTGCGGTGGCTGAGAAGGGTTACTGGGTGCTATTGGACAGGGCCCTCCAGGTCAGTAAGGTTAACGTCAAGTGGTGGCTTAGGTAGGTCATTTTATCCTTATCCATTCATTGGGCGCTGCTAATGAGGCTTGGGAGACAGGCTGTGTTCTTTGGAAGAGAACAACGTCACGCATGTATGGATTGGCTTCCATTTTCTCTCAACCAACAGCGTCGGAGCATCCTCGTCCCACGGTATCGCTGAGGTGTGCCTCCGTCTGCTGCTCCCCCTTGTCTGTGCTCCGGCTCACCGTGGCGCCGTTGACTGGCTTGCCCTGGACGCTCTTGAGCTGGATCCCGGCCGCCTCCAGGTCGTCCGCCTTGCGCCGGCGGCAGCGGGCGCGCCGGCTGGAGCAGGCGTGGAAGGCCAGCCAGAAGAAGCAGACGACCAGCAAGCAGAACATGACGCCCACCAGCACCGTCAGCCGCTCCAGGTCACTCTCCATCCGGAGCAGCGCTGTTGGCGGACCGGCAGAGCGATGCTAAGGAGACGAGCCCCTCTGTACGGGCGCAGCACCCCCGGGGCAGGGGCGGGGGATGATGGCCGAGGCTGCGCAGGGGTCACGGTGGTGCCACAGTCACTCTGCCTGTCCCAGAAACGTGCTCAACGGATATCTTTATGAATCACGTCGTGATGCATCGTTCCCTCTTACGGTTACAACCCAGAATGTTCTTGCTGACTTTGAATATTGACATGGAGAACATCTCACCTGCTGCTTCCGTTTCGGTGCGGTTAATAACATCCAAGAATCCAGGACATTGGGTGCCATGAAATATCATCACTTCCCGTTCCCCGACGCGAACATTTGAGCGTGACAAGTTCCCGAGCACACGTTCTTCAACACGTAACAGACGCTAGATAGCTTGCGAAGCCAACATACGATATGAAGGCCAGTAAATCGACAGAAAGATCAAAAGAACCGGTGCGGAAACATGCTTACCATCCATGGCCTCCTGTTGGTCGGCCTTTTGCAGGTACCTCATGTCGTGCAGATAATCTGAAAAAACAAACAAGGAGCATCAGAATCCGTGCTGCACGTAATAC